ACAGGAGATTCTCTATGTGTCCAAGTTGGATTTTATCCCCCACTAGCCCTACTCTATCTATCCAGTGTCCTCCCCGAGACTCCAAGGGTCATGGCTATCAGCATAAGGTTGAGCTCTGGGTGCTTGGGGAGGACAGGAGAGAACCTATGGTGGAATTAAGCTTTGGCTTAATTTTGGCTGACAGGTGGACAATGTGGAAGCTGCTAAGCTGGCTGTCCCTGGTGACAGGACTGGTGGCTGGAATTCAATGCCCTGATGGGCAGGTGTGTCCCAAGGCCTGCTGCAGGCAACCAGAAAGAACTGGCTACCATTGCTGTGATTCACCTTGGGTGAGTACCCATCCTGGTACCCAGGAAGATGTTGCCAATCCCTTCTAACCTTGGCTGCTCCCCAGGGTCCAAAGCTATTTAGCCAGGTTCTTTCTGGTACCCATACTGCCCATAAGCAAGGATTACTGGGCAAAGCTGATTTTCCTTGCTTAGGTAAACCCAGGTATTGCCAGGAATGGTGAGTCCTGCTCATCTACAGAGATCCCTGTAAAGGAAGGAAGTGAACCCCGACCTTTACCTGGTTCTTTCCCATCCCATTAGGATTCACCGCCATCCATACCTATAGCAAAGAATGTACATCAGGGTGTCACGTGCCATGGTGATTCCCATTGCCCCATTGGCTTCTCCTGCCTTTTCACCCCTTTGGGGAACTACAGCTGCTGTCCCTATGCAGAGGTAAGGGCTGAGGGCAGGGATGGCCAAGAAGGGTTGGAGGGAGGTGTCTGGTAGAGTCTCTCCTCTCGTTGTCCCCTGCCAATGAGCTCTTCTCTGTCCCCGCCCTTCCCTGCCCCAGGCGGTGGTATGTGGTAATGGGCATCACTGCTGTCCTCGTGGCTTCCACTGCAGCCCGGATGGTCATTCCTGCTTTAAGGTACAAGGTATGAAATAGCTGGGCCTGTGGTAGAGAGGGAGGGGCAGGGGCATTGAAGGCTGAGGAAGGAATTTATCAGAGGAGGTAGTGAGATACAGAGGAAAGAATGCTGTATTTGGAATCAGAGGACCTGAGCTGGAATCCTGGCTTTGCCACTTGCTACCTGTGTAACTGTAGACAAATCACTCTGGGCCTCAGCTTTTACATCTGTTCATTGAGCGGATTGGCTTCAGACGCCTGTAAGGTACCTTCATCTCTAAAACCATGATCCAGTGAGGAGGAAACTGTTTTTCTGGGGTAGGATAGAAGTGGAAAGTGGAGTGGTGAAAGCTTCTGGGAAACTGGGACCAGGAGAGAATCCAGGTGTCTGGGCTTCAGGATCCCCATTTGTTAGAAATGGGCACCAGGGAGGGCGTTTTGGCATTAGCCTGGCATATACTTGCATTAATATTCTGGAGACTTGGGAAGATGAACCTGGCACCAAGGGTGAGTTCTTAAGGATGTGACCAGAAGGGCCACAGAAAAAGTATGGTGGCCTGTCTGCCAATCCTTCTACTCCAGTTTTGGCTAGGTGGGAAGAAAAGATGTTTGGGGAAGGAAGAGAATCGATCCAGTTAGGGAAGAGATCCTGGTTTATTGTTTCAGTAGGTGCCAGCTCCAGGGCAGTGAAATGCCCAGACAGCCAGTATGAGTGCCCCAATGAATCTACCTGCTGCATAATGCCAGATGGCTCCTGGGGCTGTTGCCCCATGCCCCAGGTACCTATTCTGGAGAACAGGTGGGAAGGGGTGGGGTATGAGTGAGACATGTAAATGATCTAAAAATCAACTTCCCTAGGCTTCTTGCTGTGAAGACAAAGTTCACTGCTGCCCCCAAGGCACCTCATGTGATGTGGCTCATGCCCGCTGCCTTACATCTGGTGGTGGCACCTACCCATTGGCACAAAAAACCCCTGCCAAAAAGATTCAGCAAGAAAAGGACGGTAAGGAACTTGGGGCAGGGGAAGGAAACCTAAGGGGTGCCTCATCCTAAGAACCTGTTTTCAGCAAAGGCCTCGTCAGGGGCCTCTTTCAGTGGTCTTCAGCCTTTTTCTCTTCTTTCAGTGATGATGGTCACCAAAGTGATTTGCCCAGATGCCCATTCCCAATGCTCTGAGGGCACCACCTGTTGCCAGCTGCCTCGTGGATCATACGGCTGCTGCCCATTGCCAAATGTGAGTGAACAAGGGGCCTAGGGATTTCACCCTCCTCTCACTCCCAGGCCACCTGGCTTCAGTCATCTCTTGGTGTGGGCACCAGGGCATCTGAGCCTGCAGGCTGGGGATGCTGCATGCTCTGCCCTCTGGTGGTGAACTTGAGCAATGACAATGGCAGACTACCTCGAGGTGGGGACCTCTCTATAGAGCCTTCTTTCCTTTCCTAGGCCATCTGTTGCCCAGACCACCAGCACTGCTGCCCTGAAGGCACTGTGTGCGACTTACAGATGAATAAATGCCTCTCCAACAAGGGGGACACCACAGACTTTGTTACCAAGCTGCCTGCAGAAACAGGTACCTGGGGAGGAGAGTGCCAGTCTAGACAGCACAGACTCATTGCGGCTCTGCCCTGCCCCTGCCACGTTCAGAGTCCTTCTTGTCCAGAGAAACGGTGTTCTGTAACCCCACCCACCCATGTGTGCCTCTCCTCTCCTGTCCTCCCCCTTCTTTCTTCTCCTCTCTCCCTCAGTGCAGGAGGTGAAATGTGATGGAGAAGTGAGCTGTCCAGATGGCAACACCTGCTGCCGCCTGCAGTCCGGGAGCTGGGGGTGTTGCCCATTTCCTGAGGTACCTGGGAGAAGCAGAGGGAGCAGGGAAGATGGGGGGAGGAGCCTCAAACTCGCCCGGTCCCCCCGTCCCCCTTGCAACTCTGGGGGTGATGGGGGTCAAAGGGCAACCTTCTGCCCCCAGGCCGAATGCTGCGAGGACCACATCCACTGCTGCCCCCATGGCTACACGTGTGACACAAGGGCAGGCCAGTGTAAACAGGGGGCCCACAGTATGCCATTGCTGGGGAGCACCATGGCTTCCCTTGCTGCTCAGGGCAATGTCCCCTGTGACAACACCACCAGTTGCCCCCCCAAGACCACCTGCTGCCTCCTAGAAACAGGATCATGGGGCTGCTGCCCTGCCCCTCAGGTACAGTGGGACCCCACTGGGGTGGAGTGTGTCTCGGATTTGGTCTGGGAGGGGGCTGAGTGAGAGCCAAGGGGAGGGAGGATGACTTTTCCTTAGAAGGAGGGAATTCTGGATTCTCTCCAGTCTGGCCCAGCTCTCTAAGGAGAAAGTGCAGCCCAGGAAGAGAAGATGGGAGTTCCCCAAGAAAGTCGGGGATGGGCTGAGAGAGCAGCCCTTTCCTGAGCTCTTGCTCCTCCTCCTCCCCCAAACTAGGCCGTATGCTGTCCTGATCACAAGCACTGCTGCCCCCATGGCTACATCTGTGGCCCGGAGGGGTGTAAGACTGAGCATCACGTAGTGCCCTGGCTGCGGAAGATGCCAGCTCGCCCCAATCTGATGTCTACCTCGGTGGATTGTGACCAGCACACCAGGTGCCCAGATGGACAGACCTGCTGTCCCAGCCTTCGAGGGGGCTGGGCCTGCTGCCAGCTGCCCCACGTGAGTCCCTGCCTGTCTCTCCCCATGGTAGGGCCTTCTCTATCCCGTCCTGGGGCCTCGACAGTGTCCGTGGAAGTGAGCAGGAAGGGAGGCTAGAGCCCCAAGGAGCCCATGCTTGCTTCTTCCAGGCTGTGTGCTGTGAGGATCGGGAGCACTGCTGCCCATCAGGCTACACCTGCAATGTGAAGGCCAGGTCCTGCGAAAAACAAGGCTGGGCCCAGCCCCCCGCCTCCTCCCTGCCCCTCACGCTGGCGATGGACCAGGGAGATGTGAAGTGCGAGGGCAGGCACTATTGCCACAGCTACCAGACCTGCTGCCAGAACAGCATGGGGAACTGGGCATGCTGCCCACTCTATAAGGTCTGTGCCTTGCCCCTCATCCGCGTTGTGAAATTGCTCCCTGGTGAAATTGCTCCCCGCCCCTCATGTGCCTTCTCCTTCCAGGGTGTGTGCTGTGCCGATGGCCAGCACTGCTGCCCCAATGGCTTCCGCTGCGGGGCCAAGGGCACCAAGTGTATCCGAAGGAAGAGCCTCCAATGGGATGACCTCCGCACTCTGCTGTGAGCGGGACGGGACCCCGGGGGCTCACCGCTCTCACCCAAGTGCTCCACCCCAGCCGTGAGGACAGTGCTGGTGGAGTACATTGCTCAGGCCTCCTCAGGTGTGGGCTCCCCCACACTGGGTCTTCTTCACAGTCATTAACCTCTGTGGGAGGAATGCCAGTCCATGCTTTCTCCCCAGGTACCTCCTTTCCCCCTCAGATCCCAGCCTCAGCCCCCAGGGGGTTGGGATGGGCAGCACAGAGGCAAGGGGGAAGCCTCTGTCGCTGTGATTCTCCATGGCCATTCGTCAGCTCGGTTTGGGGTGAGGTTCCCCTTAACTCTGAGGGTTCCATTGTCCAGCCTCTTTCCTCCTGTACCCAGCGGGGATGTTTGAGAGGGGATGCTACCACAATAAAATTTCTACAGTTTGGTAAAGTGCTTCTCTGTTGCTGGGCTGGGCCTGCAGGGGGAAAGCCACGGTGGGGGGTGGAGGTGGGGAGTAATTTTCTTTCTCTGCAATCACTGACACCTCCCTTTCCCTTTCCAAGTGGCCCTCTCTGTTGCGTTTACTTGGCTCCTGCAGCAGGGGCCATCTCCCTCGGTCCCCCCCTCTTCCCAAGAAAGGAGAATGCCAGCATCAGTCAGTGTCAATGGTTTTTATGTATTGTCTCTCAAGCCAGCCCTTTGGTTCCCCTCATCTCTCCCGATGCAGCCTGCCTGTGGCACTCCTGGCAGCGGCCTAGACCAGGTTGTTCTAGAGGACGTGATGCCAACTTCCCAGGCTGGTGAACAAGCAGCACACATGCCAAGCCCTCCCTCCCTCCCCTTTGCCCCTACTCCTGGCCCAGGGATCCTGTCCTCCCTCAAGCTCCCCTCCCCTCCCCTGGCTCTGACCAGTCTCCCTACCCCCATCTTCCCCACAATAGAGCTTTCTATATACAGGGTATTTGTACAAATGATGGGAGTCTCTCCCTTCCCCCCAGCCTCCAAAAGGGTTTTGTTTTTTTTTAAGGTTTGGGACCAGGCATTCCTTTTCATGGACCTTGAAAGCCCTAGTCCCTCTCCCTCCCGGGTTGCCAGGGAGAAAAGGCACTTGGGGGGGGTAACCCCCAGCATAGCATGGTAATGTTGGGAGGTCAGGGACAAATCCCTCCCCTCCCACCTTCTCCCCCTCCTCATAGCCTGTCTTCCCCCACCAATCACCCTCCCCTTCCCCCTGAGGCATTCTCCTGGCAACTCCAAGAACCCCAGGGAAAGGAAAGGGGAGCGGTGCAGATTTACAGGCCTAGCCCCTGGCCTCCCTCCCATCCCAGACACTATACAGCCCTAGATGACTAAGGACCATTTTAAGGGCTTCACCAGACACCTCTTCAAGGTTGGCGCTGCCTGCTGGGGCACCTGGGTATCACCTATCCCTGGCACCGACACTCTGGAAAGGGTGTGCGTTTGAGGAGGGCCCAAGTCTTGGGCACCCCCAATGCCACCACAGTGCCAGCTCTAGGGGAGGGGTTACTTAACATTGAACACCATCAATGGCCTCTCCTCCCTCCTCTGCCAGGGGCTTTTCTTATCCCCAGCCTCATCGCCCACCTCGACGCCCAGCTCGTCCTCGGGGCTGGTGAGGGAGTCCCGCCGCAGCTCACTGGCACTGCTGCGGGAGCTGTCTCCCCGACTGCGGCCCCGGCCCCTGGGCACTGTGGCCGCCCGGCCCTCTGGTGCAACTGCTTCATCCAGCAGTGGAGTCAGGGAGTTGTCCTCTGGGGAGCAGAGGCCAGTGCGGCTCTCACTGCTGCTGGGCTCTGTGTCCTCGCTCAGGGCCAGGCGGGGCGGGGCTGGTGGGGGGGCCGGAGTTGGGGCTGGGGCCCGCTCTTCCCCCCGGGGGCCCTGTGGCCTTCGCCGAGGCAGGGGCCTGGCCTCGTGCACATCCACGCCCGAGTCCAGGCTGGCATCGGTGCTTCGCCCACCGCTGCCCCCACCTGCCTGCAGGTCAATGTAGGAATGGCGCACCTGGGAGTTGGAGCGCCCATCCAAAGACACAAACCATGCCCGTGGGTGGGGCTTCACCCCCAACTCTAGCAGCTTTTTCTCAGTGAGGGCCTGCAGCTCTCCATTCAGCTGGGCCATGGTAGACTCATTGAAGAGGACAGGAATGGTGACAGAGCCACTGACTGGTGTGGATCGGGCACCTGCCCAGCTCTCTCCACTTTCACTGCCTGCACCTGGGTGGCCCTGCAGGAGCTGGCGCTGGGGGTCAGGTTGAGGAAAGGGCCGGGCAGGGCCTTGAGTGGCCCCTTCAGGTGGGGCGGACTCCTCTCCCGAGGCTGTACCCGACTCCCCTAGCCTCACATAGTGGGCGGGGATGACCAGAGTAGGCATGACATTTCGGTAGACACTGTCCTTCAGGTGGTCAATGGATCCACAGAAGATCAACTGGCCAGCCTGGCTGAGGGACGGTGGGCGGGACAGCTGGTCCACAGACTGGGAGAGCAGGAAGTCAGGGGCCTTGCCTTCTGTGTTAGCTTTGTGCCCTAAGAAGTGGTCAAAGGGGGAGGGCAGCGGAGGTGGGGATGGAGGATCGTGGATGTAGGTGGCTCCTCCCACGGCCCGACGGGGGTACTCTTCCAGGTTTGGCTCCAGTCCCCCAGCACCCTCCACAGAGCGGGCTCCCTTAAGACCTGCCCCCTCAGCTGCCCGAGCACAAGGGGGCTCTGCTGATACCCGGCCAGCTGGGCGAGGCTTGGCACGGAAGAAGTCATCTCTGGAGCTGGCCAGGTCTCGGGAGCTGGAGAAGGCAGAATGCAGGGCCCCAGGAGGTGGTGCTTCAGGGTCCCCTGTGGAAGGAGGCTCCAGGGATCCCCCGCAGATCAGGTGGAGCTGAGACATCGAGGTGGCCTGGTCCTTCTTGTTACTTTCCAGGGGCCCAGAGAGAGGCAGCTTATGCAGCTGCTGCCGTGGTTTCAGGCAGCGCCTTCTGTGGATTAAGGGGACACAGCATGGGCATTCAGTGAAAGCGAAGGGCTGGTTGGGATGAGGGTTGGCACTGAAAAAGATGCCCTTTTCCCTTCCCTCCAGGGTGAGGAGTGAGAAGGAAATGGGGAGTACCTGGCCTGGGGTCTAGGAAAAGATTCCTGTTCAGAGTATGACTTGGGTATATCTAGGAAAGGGGGGGGGGGGTTGGGGCAGCTAGGTGGCGCAGTGGATAGAGCACTGGCCCTGAATTCAGGAGGACCTGAGTTCAAATACGGCCTCAGACACATAACACTTACTAGCTGTGTGACCCTGGGCAAGTCACTTAACCCCATTGCCTAGCCAAAAAAAAGAAAAAAAAAGAAAGGAAGGGGGGGGTGGAGAAGAAAATAGCAAATCACTCCAGTATCTTTTCCAAGAAATCCCTATAGACAGTAGGGTCCATGGGGTCACAAAGAATTGGACACGACTGAACAATTAAACCACAGCAGGAAAAGGGCAGCCTGTGCTAGGGAGTGGAGTTGAGGACCCAGGGCATGTCCACAGGGTGATATGCAGGGTTGGGGAAGGAGGTTGGGGCCTGTGATGAGAGGCGAGAGCTAAGGTGTCTGAAGGGGAGAGGTGTGGGGGCCAGGGAGTATGGGTTATGGGGCTGAGGGGGATGGGGTGGGGGGGCAAAGTCGGAGCTGCCCTCTAACCTGCAGTAGTAGATGAGAAGGCAGAGCAAGCTGAGCACAAGCAAAGCCAGGGCTCCCAGGATGGTGAGCAGGAAGATGGTGTGGTAGGTGCTGATGTCTTTAATGCCTGACGTGACAGTCACCAGCCCTGTGCCTGGAGAGGAGGAGGGAGGACCACTGGTCTCATCGCTCTGCCCCATCCCCATGTCACAGACCCTGTGGCACTCCCTACACAGACTCAGCCACATCACCCCACCACTTAAAATCCTTCGGTCGTCCTTTGCCCAGCATTCAAGGCTCTTCACAACCTGGTACCATCCTAACTTTCCAACCTTATCAAATATTACTGCCCTTCCTATACTTTACACTCCAGCCAAAGTGGGCAGCTAGGTGGCTTGGTACACAGAGTGCTGGGTCAGGAGTCAGGAAGACTCATCTTGAGTTCAAATGTGACCTCAGATGCTTACTCTAGCTGTGTGACCCTGGGCAAATCACTTAACCCTGTTTGCCCTTACTCATCTGTAAAATGAGCTGGAGAAGGAAATGGCAAATTATTCCAGTATCTCTGCCAAGAAAACCCCAAATGGGATCACGAAGAGTCAGATATGACTGAAAAATGACTGAACAACAACAAATTGGATGACTTGACATCCCCTGTATATATCATATCTTTTACTTACACTCTTCCCTAATCCTAGAACACCCTCTCAGATCCTTCTTTACTTGTTTGTATTTCTACTCATTTTTTAAAACCTTCAAGTGCGACATTGCTACCTCCTCTAGAAATCCTTCTCTGACCCCTCCTCACCTTCCAAACCCAAATATAATAATCTCTTCCCCCTTGGACCTCTCCAGCACTTGTCATCCATCTATCATAATTATATCTGCATTTGTCTTATCTTTGACTAGATTGCAGGTTCTAAGAGGCAGAGACTATAGTTTTTTTTTTTTTTGGGTGGGGGGGTAGGCAATGGGGTTAAGTCACTTGCCCAGGGTCATACAGCTAGTAAGTGTCTGAGGCCACATTTGAACTGAGGTCCTCCTGACTCCAGGGCTGGTGCTCTATTCACTGCACCACTTAGCTGCCCTCCGAGACTATGTTTTATCTAACCTATTGGGGCAGTCTAGTGATGCAGTGGATAGAGCACTGGCCCTGGAGTCAGAAGGACCTGAGTTCAAATCTGGCCTCAGACACTAGCTATATGACCCTGGGCAAGTCATTTAACCCCATTGCCTCCAAAACAAATCTAAATTATTGCCCCCAAGAGGTTAGCACAGTGCTCTGTGCATAGTAGGCATGTAGAAGATTTCTTCAGTCTAGGAGGGGAAAGATACTGACTTTGCCTACAGAGGATCCAGGTTCCAATCTCACCGCTGCTACTTTGAAGATGTGTGACCCTGGGCAAGTCTCTTGACTTCTATGCTTCAGAGTTGAGAAAAGATGCTGGGGTATAATGAAGGGGCAGAGATAAGAGGTGAGAGCCAAGATATCTGGAGGGTAGAGGCACCTTCGTTTCTTCACGTGTAAAACAAGAGTTTTGGACTAGCTGATCTCTAAGGGCCTTCCAGCTTTCAGTCTATGATCTGATGATCCCTCATGTCCCTTTCCCCCAAGCCCTCCCAACCTCTCCTAGGTGTGGCCCCACCAGCCCCACTGTCTCCTCACCAGAATAGGCAGGGGATGCCAGGGCAGCAGCCCAGTAGCCCAGCTGAGGGGAGACAAAGGTCCAGTAGAGTTGCCTTCCCTCCCTTCTGATCAGGCCTGTCCCATTTCGTACCCAAAGTCCTGGTGGCAGAGAATGAGACAATGAAATCAGGGGAGTTACTTATGAACTCTCTACCCAATGAGGCTCCCCTTCTTTCCCATCTCCTCTCCTCTCCCCATCCAGCGATGGCCCTGCAGCCCAAGACGTACCGCTCTTGGGGTCAAATCTCCAGGCAGGAATACTACTGGTACCAAGGGCTCGCGGTCCAGGGGGAAGGGGCAGTGAGAAGTGCACGGGCCCTGAGAGTGGCACCTCTGTGCCATTGCCAGTCAGCAGGTGGACGCTTACCGCAGCCAGGGGTGCCAGCTCCAGCCAGGAACTGTTGGCTGCAGAAGGATGAGAATATAGAGGCGGGGGTGGGAAATGGGGCTGACCCAATAGGACCCCTCTCCTCCTCCCCGCATTTCTCTGATAGTCTCCCTCTTCCCCTCCCTGGTCTCATCCTCAGCTATCCCGAACCTGTCTTACCTGAACTATTGCCTTCAGTGCCCAGGAAGGCGGGGAAGGCCCTCATCTCCTGTTCTGTGCTGGCAGGTGTAAGCGAGGCCCAGAGTTGGCTGTAGGTGGAGCTTCGGGGAAGACGAGCAGCCCGGCGTTGGAACTGTACCCAGGGCTGAGAGCGGGCTCCTGGGACAGGGCAGACAGAGGGGTGGGCAAGGAACCAATATTTGCAGATTGCTCATTGTCTCGCTATTGATATATACAAGTATATATACAGCATATGGGAGCTCCAATCTGATCTTTGCTATTGATTGTGTGACACTTAGGTTCTAGGAAGCATTGGAGTCAGGAAGACTGGAGTTCAAATCCTGCCTCAGTCACTCACTAGCAGTGTGACCCTGGTCAAGTCACTTAACCTCTAATCAGCCTCAGTTTCCTCAGTGCTGAATCCATTTGAATCTGCATCTCTTTGTATTCCCAGCACTTAACACAGGACCTATCACATACTGTTACTTAGTCTAGCTCTTCATGGCACCATGGATCACATTGTCCATGGGGTTTTCTTGGCAAAGATACTGGAGTGGTTCGCCATTTCCTTCTTCAGTAGATGAAGGCAAACAGAGATGAAGTGACTTGCCCAAGGTCACACAGCTAATAAGTGTCTGAGACTGGATTTGAACTCAGATCTTCCTGACTTCAGGCCCAGCACTCTATCAACTGAGCCATCTAGCTATCCCCACCTGTCGCACAGAAAATATTTAATAAATGTTTGTTGACTGACTGACTTGGAGACAGGAAGACCTGGAATTTGAGGGCTGGAGTTGGAGGAGGCAGGAAGAGTCCATTCTAGGAATAGGGTGTTATATTAACAAAAGCAGAGGGAGAGACAGGAAAGGACAGGTTAAGAACAGGGTCTTATAGAAAAAATCCCATTTAGCTAGAATGTTGACTACATGACAAAATGTGAAAGGAGGCTAGAAGGGTAGGTTGTGGGGCCAGAGTAAAGAGAGACTTGAGAGTCAGGCTGTGTGGTTTCTGTAGTTGGTCCATGATGGGGAGCCACTGAAGATTAATGAGCAGAGGAGTGGCGCATTAGGAAGATTACCAAGGCAGCAGAATGTGGAGGATGGACTGGAGAGGGGATAAAGTAGAGGCCATCTAGGAGGCTATTGCAATAGTTTAGACAAAAAAAGCCGGGGGCCTGAGCTAGAAGGCTTGCAGTAGCAGTGGAAGGGCTGACTAAAGGTATGTGGAGGAGTCTGTGACTTGGGACTGGGGGTGCCACTGAAGAAGATGAGGAAGGACAGCTTCCTTGGGGTTGAGGAGACCTACGGTGTGTGTTCCAGTGGAAGAGCTCAGTCAGGATTCTGCATGGGGCAAGTCACAGAAGGGGACATCTTACCTGGGGAGCCCAGCAGAATGTGGACTAGGTCCTCATAGAGGATGAGGGTGGCAGGGCGCTCAGGAAGCAGGTAGAGGCTGACGGAGGCATACACTGTGGGAAGGGTGGAGGCCATCTGTTTCAATGAGGTGCTTCTCCAAGGCCACATCCCCCCAATTCTCTACCCATCACATAGAACCCTTTCCTTAAGGTTTTCCTTCTCCTGACCAGCTCAGGAGCGCACAAGACAAATATTTTTGCATTCTCCCCTACATAGAGGCACTTCCCAAACTGGGGGAAGGTAAAAGGGACCCCTCCCCCTCCACTCCCACAGCTTTATCTGTAAGCTATCTGGGCCTCCCCCACCCCAGCAGTCCCAGCCTGGGTTGCAGCTGCTCCAACAGCAGGGCCCTCCTGTCTATTTTGGGAAGGGGCTGAGGGTCAGCTGGCCAGGGAGGAGTGGGGAAATAATGCTCTCTCCCAGCCTCACCCAACACACCCACACTCACAGGGCAGCTTGTCGACACGCCAGGGCACCGAGTTGGTGAGGAAGCCAGGCTGGGCAGCAGTGACCAGCACCCAGGTGCCCAGGCGATAGTTGAGAGGCAGCATAGCCACCCCCTCTGCATCGGTGGTGCCTGTGGCCAGCAGGGTCCGGTTCCCAAACACATCTACAGAGGCCCGTGATAGGGGGGCTAGTTCCCCACTGACATACACCTGGACCTTGATGAGCACCTCTGTTGGGAGAGACAAGAGTCAAGGCCTAGGAGGTCTGGAGGCTGGGAAGGTCAAGAACTGGGGAGCTGTCCAGGCTGAGAGACAAGATATGATGGTGGGACAACAGAAGGACAGGAAAGTCAGGAATTTGGGGAGACGTGGTAGGAGGGACAAAGTGTATGAAAAGGTGGGAAAGGGTGGGGTTATATTTGGGGGATGGCAGTCCAAAAGCTACAGAGCGCTATTTGGGGAGAGGAGATTTAGTCGAAGAGATGGCTTGAGCACAGAGCAATCAGGTGCAGGGAAAAGGCTGAGAGACAGGTTTGAAGGGAGGACTGAGGAAACCCAGATGGAAGAGTGGGAAACCAGGGGGAGAAGGCTGGCCAGAAGAGCGAACTGGCATAGAGGGCTGAGGGATCCAAATCGAAGAAAAGTTGAAGGGAGGGATTTTAGAGATTAGATGACAAGAGGGGATTTGTGGTCCATGAGCCTACACCATCCATCCAGTCCCCAAGTCGCGAATCCTACAATTCCTCCCTCCAGAGAATCCTTTGGCTTGTGGTCCCCTACATAGGGGGTTTCCTTCTGTTGCACCCATGAAAACCCTTCAATTTCCAGACGTGTCTCTTGGTACTCCCTAACCCATAGTTTGTCCTTCCCTGGGAGCTGGCCAGCATCACCCACCCCCAGCCAAGCTGCCGTTGCTATGACGATGCCCTCATTCCTCCTGGGAGGGCTCTGTGTAGGAGCTGGGGCCCCAGGGAAGAGGCAAGGGGGGTTGAGGGATTGTTACCAGAGCACAGGGGGAGGGACCCCAGGTGTCCTGCCAGCTCCAGCCAGACATCCCCCCCCCCATTCCCCACATCTTTTGGGAGCTCAGGGGCCTCCCTCAAAAGTCCAGTCCCCTAACCCTGAACATTTACCCACCACTTCTATTTAGCCAAGAGCTGAAAATGTCCTAGCCAGAGCAGAGTCAGAACATGGGGCCAAGAGCAAGGCATTCTTAAAAGACCTGCGATGGGATAGCAAAGTGGAAGTGGGGCTGGGCAAGAAATGAAAAGCAGTCCTAGACTATGTCTAAAATTGAGGTGCAGGATCAGGGACCTGGGTAACCCAAGCTAGTCCCTCTTAGGGGGACTCTGATATACCTGTGTGACCTTGGTTAAGTCTTTACCCTCTCTGGGCTTTAGTTTCCTCATCTGTAAAGAGAGGGAGTTGAACTAATGACTTCTGAGGGGCTCTTAAACTCAGATCTTTGGACTTGTGTTGTCGATTTTTTGATATTTTGATTTTTTTGTATTTTAACATAATTGGTTTTCTTTGCAAGCCTATAGATTTTATTTTCTGCATTGAAAAACATTATTCTGGGAAGGAGTCCATAGACTTCACCAGATTGCCAAAGGGGTCCCTGACACAGAAGAGGTTCAGGAATCCCGCTCCACAGCTATGAACTTACAAGCCTACGCTTGGCATCACTGGAGGCAGTTACTGAAGGTGGAGTATGAAAGCCACGCTGGCTGTCAGAAGCACCCACAGTGGCTGACAGGTGCTCCCTAGATTTGGCATCTAGCTCCTGGGCATATGTGGCTATGCCTGCCCCTGGCATCCTATCCCAGCTGTTGATCTTTCTCAAAGCCTCCAACCCTGTGACTATCCTATTCCTGCCCATAGAGGTCTACAGAGGTCAGTCCCCTCCCTCCCCTGGAATTCTCACCTAGCTCCTCCTGGCAAAAGCCTCTCTGAGCCCCTCACTCTGATGGTCCCCAGAGGTGGCAGGGCCCCTCAGTCTCAAGAGGAATTCAGAGAAGCTTTCGGTGGGGTTGGGCCTGGTTGAGAACAGCTGGACTCAACAGCTGGGAGATCTGGGGGGAGGGAGGGGACACTTGGGGGTCTGGAATGTAACCACTTTAGGGAATGTCTCAGGCTCCAGGGCACTATGGCCAGAGCCTCTAAGGGTTTCCCAAAAAGGCAGCATTTAGAAGGAACACACCACAGATAGGAGTTGGGGGGGGGGGGAGAGACAGAGAGACAGAGAAAGAGAAACAGAGACAGAGAGAGAGAGAGAGAGAGGATGAACTAGGGATTTACCAAGGTCCAAAGTGATAACTAAACCAAATATCCTAACTCTCATACCAGAGCCTAAGGGTTCCTCACTAGAGCCTTGGGGCAGGCCCAAGTCCTAAACTCTGCTCCTGGCCACCCCCTATCCCTATCCTGCTACTCTAAAACCTGACAAATAGTCAGGGATGCTGTGCACCATAGAGACTCTTCCCTTGGGAGACTGGGGAAGAAAGGACTATGTCATAGAGGTAGAAACCCCCAATATCCGAGGGGGAAAAGTAGTATTCCCGGGTAGGGGATATCTTCAAGGTGATGGCTCACCATCTTAAGGAGGCAGTCATAAGCTCTCAGCCTCTCTGTGACCCAGGATATCCCTGGTTTGCCATGCAGGGAGCTACTCTACTCAACTTCCCCTGGAATCTAGGACCTGTCCTGCCCCCCTCCCATATTTAACTTACTATATATTTCATTTTCTCTCACCCCAGGGGCTCAGCTCTGCCTCTTTCCAGGAGGAAATCCTGTCCGCTTTCCCAGCCAGACTCCCTTCCCCCTGCTTTTCCTGCTGAGCTCCTGGGGGAGGGAGGGGAAATACTGTGCTCAGAACAGCAAGTCAACCTCTCCCCTATACCCACCCCAAGCCCCAGAGGGACAGGAGGTGGAGGAGGATTAAAGGCACAACCTAACTGATGGGGGAAGGAGGTGAATTCCACCCCAAGCAACAGAGACTCCCCCTCTGGGGGAGAGGGAGCAGAGGGGCAGCAGCTGACAGAGAGAGGTGTGTGTATATCTGTGTGTGAGTAGGAGGATTAAATACATCCGGCAGTGGCTGGAGACTGGAAGAGCCAGGGATGGGCAGGGCCCAAATAATGGGGGCCCAGTGTCAGGAGCCCTTGTGAGGGAGCTTGGCAGGAAATCTGTTTCTTTCCCCGAAATCCTCCACTCCTTGCAAGGACCCAGGAGATGAAAGGGAGAAGGGAGGAGAAACCCAGCTTCTACAGCCGCTTTACAAACCCTGAGCCTAAGGAAGGACTGAAGTGTGTCCTCCATGCTAAGGGGAGAAAAGTGTAGGGAAACTGAGGCACAAGAGGGAGGAATAGTCCAGTCTGGGCTAACCTGAGACTCAGGCCACCAGCCTCCTTCGCCTCCTATTCTCCAGACTGTCCCATAGTATGTTTCCCATTGTAGATCTATGGTTTCCAATGTAGACCAGCCTGATGAGTCCCACACCCTACAGTGCCCTCAGAGTTCACAAGGAATGCAGGGACCTGTGTCCCTCCTGTTCTAGTCCCCTACCTTCAACACAAACCTGCTCCCTCCTCATCAATACTCATTTTGAAATTGTACACCCCATACTCAATCCTGTATCAAGGTGGGGGTGGTCTCAGAGCCTAGAAGGAAGAAGGGGACCAATGGGGGTATCCAATCTTTAATAGTGGGGCTGGTGTCAGGGCCCAGAGGGGACCAGTGAGTGACCCAACATCTAGCAGCGGGGTTATTTGTCAGGGGCGGGGAGGGAGGGAGAGGGATGGGGGGGACCAAAGAGGGGTCTCCACATCTAGCAAAGCAGTAGGTGTCAGGCCCCAGAGGGGACAGAGGGGAGATCAACGGGGGACCCCTCATCCAGTAGTAAGATGGGTGTCTTAGGCAGACAATGGCTCAGGCAGTGCCCGTTTGGGTGGGCCAAAGGGGGAAGAAACCCATGGAGGGAGGAGGTTTCGGGGAGCCTCTGCCCTCCCCATTGTGTCTCTCTTCCCGACACCCCGGCCCCGCCCCTGCTCCCCATCGCCCCTCCAGCACAGGATCCACGCCCCCCAATAGAGCGAGGAAATCTGCCTGGCCCCCTCCCCCCAGGTCCAATAGCTTTCTGGGCATCCTTGGGGGAGGGGGCTGAGGTGGGATTTGGGGCTGCAGGAGAATGGAGGAAGAGAGAATGGGAGGGGGGTTCTGCAGGGAAGATAGGGGCCTGGCGAGGCCGGGCTCCCCCGCCCGGGCCCTGGGGGCCCCTGTACTCACCCTGCGGGTTGGGGGGCTCCGGAGGGGACTTGCCCCGGGCTCGGGAAGCGTCTCCGAAGAGCAAGGGCAGCAGGAGCAGCAGGAGAAGACGCCCGCTCCGCGGCGGCATCCTGGCAGCCCCGGCAGCTAGCGGCCCATCCCATCCGCCCGCTGCCCGCTGCCCGCTGCCCCTGCCGCTGCCGGCCCCCGCGCACAGGCACAGGCACAGGCCCGGGCCACCGCCCGCCCCTCCCTCCCTCCCTCCTCCTCCTCCTCCTCCTCCTTCTCCTCCGGCAGACAGCCCGCAGCCCCCGCCCCGCGCAGCCCCGCTCCTCCGGCTCCCCGTGATTGTCTCAGCCCGCCCGCCGGCCCCCCCTGCAGGCCGCGCCCGGCAGTGCCGCCCCCTCCCCTCCCTTCCCCTCTCCTCTCCCTCACGCCCCCACCCCATCGGGTCCTATCACCCCGCACCCCCAACCTCCTTGGGACAGTATCCCGACCCCCGATAGCAGCCCCCATCCTCCCAGCTGGAAGGCAACCTTGAGGTCAAGTTCCATCTCACATTCATACTCTTCTGCAAAGTCCCTGACCAGTGCTGGTCCAACCTCTGTGGGAACTTCCTGTGGTAGGGAGACAGTTCACGGCTTAGGAGGGCAGTCCTGCATCCACCCACCCACCCATCCAACCATCCATCCATCTATCCATCCACCCATCCATCATCCATCATCCATCCACCCATCCACCCACCCACCCATCCATCCATCCATCCATCCATCCATTCCATTCCAAGGTTGGATTCTAAGCCACCTTAGACCAAAATCTGCCTCACTTTAGCTTCCTCCCATTACTTCCGATCCATTCTCATCCTGAGACACAGAATAAGACTATGACCTTCACATATTTGAAGGCAGGGCTCTTTCCTTCCCCTACCCCCAGGCAACCTAGTCCAACTCAACCCACCCCCACCCCCCCACCCCACTTGTGTCTGTGTGTCTGTCTGTCTCTTTTAATCTCTGTATTTCTCTTTCAACTGATGAGAAATCTGAGGCCCAGGGAGGTTAGGTGACAATAACTTGCATAATAATTGGATTTGTCCAGAGTCACATGGCATTTATATATCATTTTAAGGTTTGCAAAGTGCTTTACAAATGTTGTCTCATTAAATCCTTACAACAGCCTTGTGAGATAGGTGCTATTATTATCCCCATTTTACAGAGGAGGAAAACTGAGGTAGAGAGACTTAACCCAGAGTCACACAGTTAGTGAGTGTCTGATCTGGGATTTGTATTCATTTCATCTTAATTCCAAATCCAACACCCTGCCCACTGTACCATCAAGCTGCTGTTTAGTTAGTGAGCAAATGGGAATTCAGGTCCTCTGTTTCCAGAGACAGTGTACAATGCAGACCACCTCTCTTATATAGTCTCTTTACCCCTATGACTGATGAGCTCACATTCTAGCACATGGGTGAATGTTGGTGAAACTATGGATTGGTCTAGCCATTCTGGAAAGCAATTTGGAACTGTCTGTGCCCCCAAAGTCATTAAACTGTAAATACCCTCTGACCCAGAGATACTACCACATTAGTACAAAATTTATAGCAGCTCTTTATAGCAAATAATTAGAAACAAAGAGGATGCCCATCAGTTGGAGAATGGTTGAGCAAATTGGAGTAGAAGAATGTAAAGATATTTTATTATACCAGAAGAAATGATGAAAGGAACAGTTTCAGAGAAACTTGGGAAGACTCATGACTAGACAGAGTGAAATACACAGAACAATATACAATATAATAACAAGTATACAATGACAAATAAATGTTATAAATAAAATGGGGCCATTAGTGGCTAGAGTGGATGGATAGAGTGCCAGGCAAGGAGTCAGGAAGACCTGAGTTCAAATCCAACCTCAGACAATTACTAGCTAAGTCACCCTAGGCAAGTCACTTAATCTTGTTTGCCTCAGTTTCCTCATCTGTAAAATGAGCTGGAGAAGGAAATGACAAATCACTCCAGTATCTTTGCCAAGAAAACTCCAAATGCAGGTCACAAAGAGTTGGACACAACCGAACAACAACAAAATACAATAACAATATTGCAACGAAAAATAACTTTGAAAGGCTTAAGAACTCTGATCAATGAAATACCAACCATGATTCCAGAAGACCATTGATGAAGCAAGCTACACCTCTTCCTGACAGAGATGGATTTAATATGCAGAATAAGATATACATTTTTGGACATAGTCAACGTGAGAATGTGTTTTGTTTGACTATGCATCTTTGTTACAAGGGTTGTCTTTTTCTTTTCTTTCCTTTCCTTTTCTTTTCTTTTCTTTTCTTTTCTTTTCTTTTCTTTTCTTTTCTTTTCTTT